AATGAGCTTTGGAGTGAAGGAGTGAGTGAGTGAGTGAGTGAGTGAGTGAGTGAGTGAGTGAGTGAGTACATAGCAAGTGGCCAAATGTGTCATGGCATGTGGAATGAGAGTGACCCACCTGGAACATGTTAGATACCGAATAGCACTGCCAGCTACTTACTCAAGTGACAAAAAGGAAGTTGCAATATATAAGATTAATATGCTTTACAATAAACAAATTCTCATGCCATTAAAAAGATCATTGTCTGGTCACAAAAAACTCATAGTAGTGTAACCCACAAGTATTTAGCTGTTGAACAAGTCCATCTGCATTGCATACATTCAAGTGTTAGTATTTAAAGGTGGGATATCAACCTTTGGCTGATACCTTTTCCCAGATACTGTCAGTTTAAATCTGACTCTTGCTATCGCTATAGCATGTTTTTGCTTTTGAAAGGGATGGTGAGGTCCTAGAAATATGACATCAGCCTTTCTAATAAGAGAATCATCGAAAGCAGAGCTGGAAGGGACCTTGCAAGGTCATCTAGTCCGGCCCTCTGCCCTAAGGCAGGATCAATTATACCCAAATCATTCCTGACAGAAGTTTGTCTAACCTGTTCTTAAAAATGTCTGGCAATGAAGATCCTACAACCTCCCCAGGCAATCTGTTTCAATATTTCACTACTGTTACAGATGGAAAGCCTGTCCTAAAGTCTTCCTTAAATCTCTTTGGCTACAATTTAAATCCTTTCATTCTTTTTGTATTCCCAGAGGACACAGAGGACAATTTGCAACTTCCCTCTTTGCAGCAATATGTCTGAACACTGGTATCAATTCCTATTCCCTTCCCTGCATCTCCTTTCTCTAGTTGTACTGCCCACTTCTTTCAGTCTTAACATTCACGTTTTCTAGACTCCTGATAAATACCACTGCTTTCTGTTGGAATTTCCAATTGGACTGTATCTTTCTTTTTTGAAGTATAGTGCACAAAAGTAGACACATCACTCCAGCTAAGTTCTGAAGCAGAGGATAATTAGGTAAGATTATTTCTCATTTCTTCTCCATGACACAATAATTTTTAGAGCTGAAATTCCATTAGCTTTCCTCACACCGTGGACTGTGTTCAGTGTTTAATTCACAGCAGTCACAAATCCCCTCCTGCAGAATAATGACCACTGAGTAAGAAGCTCCCATTATTTATGTATATTGTTGGTTATAGAAATTCAGTGGTAAGATCCTGGAGTGTCCCACACTTAACTACTTTGAATTTAAATCCACTCACCTGAGACTACCTTGTTCAGGTTTAGTAAGGAGCTCAGTATATATCAGTGTCATTTCACTGAAAGCAATGCAGTAATATCAGTAAATAATTTACTCCAAGTTGCCCATCCAGTTTAAAGGAATTCAGCAGTGGTTCTTCCTATTACTACCAAGTTTAATATATTCAGTGTGAAGTAATTTGAAGCACAATGATGTCAGTTTAGAGGAGTTGGAGCAGCTTAAAATACAGACAATTATACATGAAAATTGTAGCTCAGAGGGGTCCCAATTAGACGAAAAGTCTCCAATCTGCCTGGATCCCGATGACCATAATGCCCAAGGAGAGGAAAACTCTTTAAATCACACCCAATAATACCCAAAATTAGGACGAAATGGGAATTGCATCCTATCAGCTCTTTAGTTACTTGTCCAGAAGGGAAGTTCAGTCTCTATTCATTTCTGTAACATATGGAATTACATTTGTCCTATTATATAATATTGAAATGTGCTATAAGAAACCAGCTAGTTTCTCTTTCTGCTGTACAGGCAGATCCTGCTCTTTAGCAGCTGGAGTAATTTGCAGATACAGTGTGAAGAAGACAGGACAAGGTTCCTCAGTGAATGGGGCCTAAACAACAACCCAAAAATACACTGTTTTAAGAAAAGGTTTAACTCCACAAGTGCTGGACTGGTTTGTCACTTGAAGTAGAATTACAGGCTATCCATCCATTGTTTATAAGCATATGCAGCATTTAAATGAAATGTCAAAATTGCTGTAAATTTACCCCTCCTCTAGTTTTAATTTTTACCAAGTATTTTAAGCAATTTGGAAATATAAAAAATTTACATTGGAATACTAAGTAGCTCAGAGGAACAAGTCTTCTAACTCCCATCAAACTCAGATACATAATTCCCACAGGTGCTTTGAAAATCCCTGTTTTCAATGTTGTTGTCCATTAGATAAACAGCTCAAACATCACTGGCTTTTTGCACAAAGTTCATCTGCCTGAAATAATTTATGAAAATCATAAAATTGATTTAAGCTCTTCTCAGTGCTCCATAAATTTTATGTAGCCCTTAAATTATAAAGCTGCTGCTGCTGCTGCAGCACTCATCAGAACAATGCCTAATCTCTTCTCTCAAGACAGTTGGCTTGTCAGAGGAGAAAAGAAGGGACTCAGGCAGCTGAATTGTTTGTTTCAATTTAACAGGGCAGAATAAAACAGCCTAGATGCCAGGGCTCCAGCTCCAGTGAGACTGTGTGCATGAAGGTTTTATTGCAAAAATAAGTTGTTCTAACCTTCCCCTGCCTTTCCTTGGTTTTAAACCAGAAAATAGCTTTCATTGATTTCACAGGGACTCTTTTTGCACACATCATCAGGTTTGTGATACTTGAGATGTTCCCTGCCTAATTTATAATCAGTGTGTTCTTGTTCTGATATAAGACAATAAAATTCCACATCTGCCCAATTACACATAGGTGTAAAAATGCTGTGCAAACCTCACTTCATCCTTATCAGATAGTCCCTCTCAGATCAAAGCTGTGTGAGAACAGGTTGAGTTTTTTTTACTAGGGTTTCATGTAGGGTTTTTACTTCTACTAAAATCAGAGTTTTTAGGACTGTTCAATTTATTTTTTTTAATCTCTTACCTTCTTCAGCAAAGATTGAAAGTGGTTTTGGAACTGTATAAAACACAAGGTCAAAATAAAGTCCTAGCATAGAGTAACTGTGACTTTGGCCCAGTAACATATTAAAATGTAGACTGCTTTAATAAGATTTTGGCTTGTGCAAGCTGACTCAGATTAACAGTACGCTGCTTTTTCTGGTTAAGTCTCATGTGGAGTAGCCCAGTCTTCAGAGGCAGAGTTGTCTGGACTTTATTAGACTCACCTTTTTTTGGTGTTTCATCCTGGGGCTCCAGAGTCAGCAGCTGCTGCAGTCTTTTCCTTGGCACTGACTTTCCAGCTCCCTCCACTCTCCTGGTAACACTCCCTCGTCTGTCATTCACAGTCGTCATCTTTAAGGGATGCATTTCAGCCTTTCTATACTCACGCTTTTCTCCCACGTAACCCTGTGAGTTTCATCCTTCCTCATAGGCTGTTTTTGCTCAGAGGTATACAAACCATCTGTGCCTCTAATACAATGTTCTTAAATAGCCTCCAGGCAGATCTCTATGGTTTTTAAGTACTTCTCTTTGCCCTTCAGCCTGCTGTTAACCATTTTCCTCATAGTTTTATAATCTGCCCTTTTAAAGTTCGTTGTTAGTGTGCTGTCCCTAAGGGAACAACTCTTTCATGATATCAAAACTAAAAGTGTGCAGTGATCACCGTTATCCTACAGAGGCTTGACAACACCTTCCTCTAATAACTTCTGCCTCTTACAAGGTAGCTCCCACTTGCCCACGGCCTTAACTAATCAGGCATGGCACTGAGGACTGCCACCAGAGTCAAGGAAAAGGAATCCTTTGCCATATGGATTGGAATGGCACCAAAGCCACTTCTGATAAGAGGGAAAGACTTGCTTTACCAGCTGTTGCTTTACCCTCAACAGAAAATCCACTAGCAGTGAGGTAAATAACAGTAAAATTCAATCTTGTGTCATTTTCCTGGCTGGTCCCATTCATTTTCCCCAGGAGGAAATTACTTCCCAGAGGCTGCCTCTGAGATTTTATAGGTTCTCAATATCTTGAGGAAGTCTACAGGAGGTTGCAGTCACATATAACCCTATGGTGTGTCTCCCCTGGTTTTAATGGCTGTCTTTGTGACTGCTGCCTGTGAAATGCTCTCAAGGAAGTGGTGCAGAAGGGAAGGTCTACAACATGAAAAATGTCTTTGCAGATTGGCACCTTGCTCTAGGAATGGGAATAAAGGGATGATACTGAAGAGGCAGCTGATACACGAGCCCTTCTGTTTGCTGAATGCACAAAGGATTGATTTATGGCATCCTGCCACAGGACAGGCCTATAGGTTATTAACCAGCCTCAATGGACAAGCACTTGCTGAGGCTGCACATCATACCTTGTGTGCTGCACAAAAGGTAATGACTCATCTGCAGGCAAGCCTGATGTCCTTGAGAAGGCAGTTGGCTCTGCACAGCCAAGTGAAGCATTACTTAGTTAATACACTACAGCATAAGGGAAACAATCAGCTGAAACGATGACATTGCTGCTTCCTGCTTCATTTTAAATCTGCAGCTTCCTAACAGGATTATATACTGAAGCACTGTAAAAAAGGACATTAGGTCCTGTGATGAAACTTTAAAATGTGCAATTAAAACTGCTAAATACAGGCTTCTTGTGCTCAGTGTCTGTAAAACACAGTTTTTGATCCTCCAAATGATATTTCTAGGAAAAATGCTGGACAAAAAAAACTATCAGAATATAATTCTGACTCATCCCTTCCTCTTTAGCCCAATGAGATGAACTTTTTCAATACAACAAATCTGCTTTTATTTCAGAAATACTATCAATGGTATAAACTCCTGGCCCACCTGCCCACACATGCATTTTCTTGTTTATTTTATCAAGAATGCAGCATTCTTTATGATTCACCTTGATTCCTATCATTCAGAGAAAAATCCTGGTTCTTCAAAAGAAATTAAGGTGACAGAGCATCTCACCTCTCCTACTGACATCCAAGTACCTTTTCAGCATAAAATGCCTCCATTATAAGCATCTGCTGCTGCAATGCTACTACAGTTCACCAGATTTGTTGCACTTCACTGCTCAGCTAATACCATCAATAAATGTTTTAGTCTTAATGAACTGGGAAATTTGAAGTATTTTATTAATAGAAACAGTACAAGATTCCTCAGTACATATGAGTACATACAAGTACCTCAGTACATATGAGGTAACAGGCTACAGGCTCCTGTATTGGAATCTTCAGCTGCTCTCACCTTGCTCCTCCGTCACTGCTCTCACATTTAACTCGGCAAACTCCATGAGAAAATAAAGGGATATACATTTTCCACTACAGGAGGGGAAAAGGACAGGGAATGTGGGCAAGTAAGAGCAAGAGCAAAAGAAAACCCAGGAAAATTGTCCTTTCCTGTCCCAGCCTCATGTTTCATGTACTTAGCTTTGGCTTCCCCTTTATAAGAAACTTGTGATTATTATTTTCCCATGGCCCATTCGAACAGGCGATTGCTTAAGAGTTTCACATTTCTTTCCTAAATGAACAAGTAATTGTTCTCTTTAACCACAGGTTTCATGGGAGTTGATAGTGTGTGTGATTTTCCTGGTGTGTCATGGTAAAAACATTGAATTTTCACATGACTACCTGATTAAAATGTCTTTGTGCATCACTCACACCTCTTAATAAATCTATTCAATTAGTTATTGTTGGGTGAACTGGGAGTGAAATACCATGAATACAAAGGTCTCCTCCTGGTCAGAGCACTTCAAGTCAGTCGGAATGAAGGAAAGGAACTGGGTTTCCGTATCCACCTTTCTTTCCCCTGCTGTGTTGCCTGAACACATTTTAATTTATTATTTCCAAGTAAACTCAATCCATTTATTTGCATTCCAGACATCTGTCATGGAGGTTGTAGAGCAAGAAACATGATTAACCAAAAGTACCACACTCAATAAGTAAAAGTACTGCACTCAATATTTAAGGTAACCCTCCCTTTACTGAACTCAAGTCTCCAGAGTCGTTCACTAAAAATGGGAACTTTTGTTTAAAAGCAATTACAAATTGCATTTAAACAAGAATCCAGAATCAAACAAGATCTCAATCTTATTTTGAACAAGCCAGATCAACTGCATATTTGTGAGGAATTTTCTAATTTTAAGGTAAAACCAAATGCCCTCTGGTCCTTGGCAAGCATTTATCTGAATAGCCATGTCTCCTAAACTGCCTTACAGCTCAAGTTATGAGCTTCCAGGTTGTGCAAGAAAAATGTATGCAAATATATTTCTGTACTGACAAACAGAACCAGAAAAGTTTAAGTAAGCAGCCAGTGGTTAATTCATTCTTTCAGATAAGTCTCAGCAAGTCAGAGTATTTACTCCATATATACTCCATTGTTGATGTATGCCCAAATATTCCTTTTGTACACTGGAATGCTACAAGATTACTTATGGGGGTGTGTGTATGTATTGGTATATATTTTAAATTGGTTCAAACAAGTTTTAAGTATACAAAATAAATGGAAATACCAATTCCTGGGAACCTTTGGTTCTGTACTTTAAATTTCTTCTTTTGTACGTAGAGAATACAGACAAATTATGTATTTACAAATGTGGCACGTCCTCATGGGAATAATCAGGTTGTACACAGCACCTCTCACAATTCTAATATGAAACCAGTGCAACAAGACTTTAATATCCATTTATAGGTCTGGTTTCGATTTTCTGAAAGGACAACAGATCTATTCATTTTCAAAATCAGGGTAACATGTACTCACACAAACAGTGCAAAAGAGTGTGCAGACTTGCATCTGATGTTATGCAGCAGGAAGCTGGTGTGTAGGGAGACAGGCAGCAGGTACAGGAGGCTCCAATATCAAGAGGCCAAAAAAAATCTCATTTCATGTCCTGACATTTTTATTAAAATATCTTTGGACCACTTAAAACATAATTTATTGTTTACTACCAGATGAAACTAAAACCAGCTGTTTCACACAGCAACTTGAAATATGCTCCTCGATGAAGCTTTACAGGCCAAATAATTTCAAATGTCCTGTCACACAGCAGACCTGACTTCATATGGTTACAGAACACACCATACATACAAATAATTTCAAAGTCACAAGTGACATTCCTACCATCTTGTTCTCCAAAATCCCATCAGCTCTCAGGGTCAATTCTGTTCTGTTACAGAAAAATGCTGAAATGGACTCTTCCTACCCACCTCTGCCCAAGATTTTTACTCTCCCTTTAAGACCGGGGGGTCAGAAGCAGAACCAGAGGGTCTTGCCACGGGTTCATGGAAGCAGAAGATGCCAGGATCCCTTTAAAATGAGACAACACTCACACAGCCCTCTCTTTCATTCCCCCTAGTTACTGAGAAGCTGAGGCAGCACAAGGCAGAAGCTCCCCTTTGTTTTGGTGGCTGGGCCAGGGAGGACTTTCTCTTTCTCTTGTGACCATTTTCCTTCCTTTTTCATTGCTGTCACCTGGGCTGGCCAGCCATGGCACCACAGCAGGAAAACCAGAACAGCCCCTGTTCCATAGGGTCACTCCAGCCCTCCGGCAGCGCTCAGGGGCAGCAGGGTGTGGAGCCCGGGCTGCCCCAGGCCTGTGCCTGTCATCTTCTGCTGAGGAGAAGGCCAAGTCCCCCCAGGAGTTCCAGCCACTGACCAGTGCCAGCTGCCACTGTTGATGGAGCTGCTCTGCTGCCAGGAGAGAGACCTTGTCCGGTGATGTGGAGCAAAGAGATCAGCAGCATTTGACTGGTTTTGGAGTCCAGGTTTCTTTTGGTTTTGTCCTTGTTCCTCATTGGTTGTTGTTTGGAGAAGAGGGACTTCCATAATCACAGATGCTGTTGTGGGTTTTTTCCCCTTTGTTCTCTCTCCAACACATGGTTAGGAGAAGGGGCTTCTCCACAAGATTGTCTTTGTCCCCTGCACCATGTGGTCTTCTATGGAGGCCAACATTTTTGGGGAGGGGTTTCTCTGCCATCTTGTCTTCTTTGTTCCCAAGCAGTCCATGGGATTCAGCAGCTTTGTATCTAGTGATGATTACTGTTATCCTGCCTGTTGCTGTTTCACTTTTTAGTAAACTTTTATTTTTTCACTTATATGTACTTGCTTTCATCTCTGCTCACCAGTGAAAGGGAAGCAGTTAAAGCTAAAAGGGGCAGTAACTCATTTTGGAGTGTCTGCCCCAGGAATTGTCTTAAACCAAGATACACACAGCTATAGTGTTTCTTGGCTTAAATTCCCTGTTTACAACTTCCCCCCTACTTGAAGAATACTAAATTAATGCTTTTCCACAGCTTAAAGATGAAATACAGTTTTTAAACAAGCTGTCTGAGATCCCAAATAATTATGAACATCTAAGTAGTTAACTGGAACAAATATACTTTAAAAAAAAACCCAAAACACCATCAAACCACTGAGCCCATCAGTGTCAAAACCAAAGTGCACAGGCTTCTTTTGCATTAGTTGATAACATCAACTAGAATCAAAATCTTTATACCTTGCTATTACAACCAATTCAAATGAATTTGATGTTTCTTAGACTGCATTCACCAATGACAGGATCAAGACTACACGAATTTAGCAAATGCAGCCTCATTTACTACAAGGCTCTGCAAGAGCAATCTTGCAAATCACAAATGCAAAGGTTGTGCAAACTTTTGTTAAGCTGTGAGACAGAAAACTTCAGTCTCTGTTTAACATCAATGAAGTGTCTCTCTTTTGAATGTCAATAATAACAGGTAGAAAACATAACTGTCAACTAAGGCTATTCAATATAGATGAAATACATTTTAGCAATGGAGGGCATTTTAAAATTGACTGAAAATTTGTAAGGTAAATATATACAGGCATAATTTGCTACTCATTTGTGACCTCAAATAGTTTTTACGTACATGGTAAAATTCTCCTTTAAAATTAAGACACGACATACAGTTCTAACTAACTGCAAAGACTTAGCTCATGCTAATTTTATACATTACTTCTCTAGTTGGACTATAGCAAAGTAAGAGAAGACTCAGACACCATGCTTTTCTATTCCTATGAAAGCCCTCAATATTATCCAGGTCTCTAGACAGGCAAGTTAAGCATAAAAAAATACAACCCTAATCATCATTTTCCTCATCATCAAATGACAGAAGACTGCTGTTTTTCACTTGCTTAGCTGTATTCTGAGAAGTAGTTGCTTCCCCCTTGGTTTTCTTTGCTTCTTTCATCTTCTTACTTGAGCTTACATTGAAGTCTAAACACTTCTCTGATGAACGTTTGGCTGGTTTCCTGAACATAATTTTTCCATCAGCAGGTTCTGGTTCATCATCTGTAATAAAGAGAGTAGAGTCAGAACACATCTGCATATGTTCACAAACACATACAGACCTTGAACCAAAATCAGTAAGGCCTCTGAGAGAATACAACAATCATGAAAATATACTTTTGGCCAAAAACTCTGTATCAATGAATGGCCTTCATGTACACACACCTGCTTCATGTCAGCAAGCCCTTGAAGAAAATCCTCCTGCAGTTCCTATTGGAAATGGGTTTCACTAACCAGAGCTCTAACTTAGAAAAGATTGTGAGCAGTTCTGTGAGCAGAATGAGAGCTTTTCCCTCACATTCCATTCACATCCACTTACCAAAATGCAGAGGACAACTTCATAGGATCCTCTCACTCTGCTTCAGTATTTGTAAAATTTATGACAACAAATGCATTTATTTCAGAATTATGGCATCTCTTTAAATAACAAAATGGCACATATACAAGAAAAACTTTTTTCCCTAATATATTCTGTCCTGTTGAGACAGCTGAAAAGATCACGTGGCAATAAAGGTCCCCTTTTTTATCATAATGGATGAAAGTTTCAGGGTTTCTTTGTATCTGCAACATCACCCAACTATTCCAACTGACCAATTTTGCTCTAGTGCATGCAGAGGAGCAGACAACAATCCTGAAAACAGGAGAAGTCCCTTCCATGATTATCAGGCAGAATGGGAAAGCTACTGCATAAGTAACAGCATCAGGGCAGTATTTCTGGAAGATAAAGTGTAATGTAAAGTTGTGAATCAGACACTAAGGTTGATGCTGCAGTAGTTTGCAATTTTTATAATGTATATGTGACAGAATGTTAAGGAGCCGTAGGTTCTGTGCAAGATATTTTTCCTAAATTACTTTTGTGAAATTCATTACTCAACAGAAATGTGTTTGACAAGATTATGTGCTGTTTAATTAAAACCAATAAATAACTTTTCTCTTTAGCACAAATTCTTTCCTCGGTATACCAGCACTACGGCAGAATACTTAACATTTCAGTGTTATCTACACAGCACTGGCTGAGACTCTCCTCAGTGCATTCTCAAAACAGTACAACTAATAAATCTGGTACCTTAAGGGTTGTGTGGTACAAATGAAGACATTGACTTAGAATGCCCTAAGTTTCAGAGATCCTCTTAAAGAAGAAAGCTAGCTTGAAAAACGAGGCAATTCTGTCAATGGCTTCTACGGAATGCATCCTTCCAAAAGGTGCATATGGTGGTGAGCTGGAGCACAAGTCCTGAGGGACATGGGGTTGTCCAGCCTGGAGAAAAGGAGCCCTGGGAGGCCCCATCTCTCTCTAGAACTGCCTGAAAGGAGGCTGTAGTGAGGTAGGAATCAGTCTCTTCTCCCAAGTAACAAGCAATAGGACAAGAAATGGCCACATGGGGAAGTTTAGATAGCATACCAAGAAAAATCTTTTCACTGTGAGAGTGGTCAGGCACAAGAACAAGTTGTCCAGGCAAGTAGTGGAAACACCATCCATGCAGTGTTCAAAGAACTTGTCACACTTGGGGACATGGTTTAGTGGCAACAAAGTAGTGCAAGGTTAATAAGTGGGGCTCCATGGATCCTAGATGTCTTTTCCAAACCAAACATTTCCTTGATTCTATTATTCTACACTAGTTTATGAGAAAATACTACTATGCAGAAAATAACTAACCAGGTTTGGGGAAAAATACTTCATTCTTGGCACATTAGAAAACCATTACAGTTACAAGGAATTAGCAGCAATAACTGTAGATATGAAAAACTGTAGATATGAAAAGCAGAGTTCTCAATGGATCCACTGTGAACTCTGCACAGAGAGCTTAAGTGTTTTGATGCTGTACCCGTGATACAAAAGTTCAGGAAGTGCCTACAGTAAATTTTGGGAGGGAAATAGAACTCCTGAAAGGATATCACACCTAATGAATCAGAATACACTATGCATCCTTTTTCTCAGAAGTTAGGCCTCCATTTTTAGGCTATGAAGTTTAATAGCAAATGATTCCCCTTACTAATTGTTGCATAACTACAGTGTTTATTTGTAAATAGAGATCTTTTAATTTAAACAAGATCTGAGGAACAATCTAAGCCAAAATCTGAAAAAAAAAAAACTATCTATAAGGAGAACTTCCCTTCTGTGCAGACACAACTGTCTATTGTGCTGTTTACAGGCTCCATACTGCTGTGGAAATGACACAACCAGCTACTGGACAAGCACGAGGAGCAAAAAAATCAAACCCCATTGGATATTCTTTAACAAACAGATTACTACATTTTCTTAAATTCTTAGGTAAATTTGAAAACCTAACCCCTAAAAATATAGTTAAAAGCATCCATAAAAGAAAACAGAAAATCAGCTATGTAGTTGTAATCCATGGAAAAAGAGAGGACAGAAACTTTGACTCACAACTGCCCTGCTACCCACACTGTGAACTACACAAAATAACTTCATTTTGCCAACCAGATGGAGAAACTGATAAGTATCTTTGCAATATGAATTTCAACATATAATAAGCTAAGGGCACAAACAGCAAAGCTCAAAATCTCCACCAAAATGGCAACTGGCTCAGCTCTGACCTCCAGGGCTACAATACTATTCGCAGGTCATTCTGTATCAAAGGAAGTTATTTTAGCTCTTGGCCTGGTTAAACACTGTCAAAATTTCATTATATGCTCAAGGACATTCCTTTCAGCAGGAAGCCCAGGCCAGCTTCAGAGAGCAGTGTGTGCTGGCAGTGCTTGACAAAGAATGAAGCAGATAGGGAAACACAGTAGGCCTAGCCTACATGTGGAGAGAGTGAGGACAGACTATGCTTTTTGAAAAAAATTGATGAGGCAGTTCAAGGAATTTGTGTTGATGTGTTAAGATTGCCTTTTTCAGCTGGTAAAATGACTTCACTTTATCCTTTGTAATTTCACCTGGTTCTTATGTGTCAGCTATCTTTTTTGTTTTCATCAAAGACCTACAAAAAACTGACTTGTATTAAGCAATGCAAAAAAAAAAAAGGCTAAAGAAACAATCCCAGTGTTGGTAGTTTTCAAAACAGAGTCCCAGTAAAATACTCTGTTAGTATTATGAATTATGGAAAGCAGGATTTCTGGTAAGCACACTGAAACACATGAAGTAAAATACATAAAAACACTACAGGAGAAATAATAAAATCCACTTCTCAAAAATGAGTCAAAAACTACACTAGCAGTTCAAATTCCCACTGTTCTTAGTCATTCTTGCTTTTTACCTGGATCACAAACCACTGGTTGACCAACATGAGCACAGTTAGATGTTGAGCTGAAAACTTACTTCACAGGTGACATCAATTTAAGAAACCACAAAATCAGAAATTTCTTCTTTTCTAATTATTTCAAGGTATATATTAAAATACAAGTAGAAATGAGAGCCTGAAAAAGAAATACTGATCTTCAGTTTAGAGGATTTTTATTTAGTAGTCATTTGTGTAGTTAGCAGCAACACTTTTCAGCAGTTTCTGTCCACATATGTCAATGAGGCAACAACAGGAAACACAAGTGCCACAAAACTGTCAGGAGCAACAGGAGGAACAGTGGAATCCATATAGGTCTATTCAAAGATAGGAGGTTAAGAAAAAAATTACAATAACCTGGCAAATTTCTTAATGGTTTCTAAGGTTAGAAGTTCAGGTCAGCCATTTCAGATGCTCCTTCCAATGCTTTCTGGCCATCCATTCTCTATCCATGCCTTTGGAAGCATTTACTCCAGGAATTCAGCACACTTGTGGTTTGAAGATAAGAAGGTCACTCTTGCTCCATAGTCAGTTTCAATTGTTTATGAGAACACGTGGGGAAATTTTCTTTACTTAAATACTGCAAAGTTAGCTTTGATTTAGGTTCCTGCTATTTCACATATGTGAAATATTTCATATTTCACAGAGCAGCATTACCTCTGTGAGATGTATCTGATACATCAGCTGCTTAAATCAGAAGAGCCAGCGCTTGTTCAGGAAGGGCTCCAATAGCCAGGACAGCAGGGACTGTATTCTCCTTGCCTCTTCCCTCTACTGTCCTTCCCCAGAACCCAGCACATAGAATGAAACAAGAAAAATATTCTAAGGCTTTGAACAAGAACGGACACCTTTTGCCAAATTTGGTCATCTGCATGTCAGAGTGTCCCAGAGGCCATATGAAGTAGAAAAGCAGTAGAAAAAAAATCTATTTTATAGATTGTAATGAATGCTGAGATAAACTATCTTGCAGTAATTCATGTATTTTCTTTTGTGCAAATTTAATTTTTCATAAGACCATTTTTCTTTGTCTCTGAACCAACAGTGACAATTTTGAAAATGATGCATGAAACATTAAGCAAAATCACTGCTAATACACAAACTACTTTTTTTTAAAAAGCCTCTGAGTCTTTGCTACATGGAGAAAAATATTTCAATATAGAATGGTTTTTTCTCATATAAGAAAGGTTTGGTCCTAAATAAAAAAGATCCCTGTGACTCTACTTGCAAAAGCCAACAGAAAAGCTATGATTTGCTCTGCCTTAGGAATGCAACTAAGTGCAGCTAGGACATTAATCAGCTGGTTTTACTAAATGAATGCAAAAATGTTACTCATCTATAAAAGAAAATCAAGTCATAGCAACATCTGATGTCTAAAATTAAAAATAAACAAAACCAAAATGAACAAAAGCTGTAGCCATGTCAAAATGGTTATAGAAGAAAACAAAGGAGAAAGTATGTAAATGAGATATTCTGGAGTAATATCACAATCCTAATCCTGAAGACAAGGTCCTTTAAATGAAGACAATCACTACAATATAAGAGAAAAGATGGCAGAACATCAAAACTGAGTGCTTCCCAAGTTCTGCAAAACTGTCTGTATCCACAACAGATAGATAGTAGCACATTTCTAAGGATCTATCCAAGTGCCTCAGCGTTGATGCATGCTGGAAAGGCACATTCTCAGTTGGGAAATTTACTTTCCTATTAACTTTTTAGCTTCATGTAATTTCACTAATGATCTGATTTGGGACTATATAATAAGGTCTAGTAACTATTAAATTAATTTGACTTTCAACTCTGGGATTAAAATCAAAGTATCATGAAATGTAACCAAGTCATGCAGCACCAAACTTTCTTTATACTTCCCATTTTCAGAATTGAGAGCCAAAAAAATAAAAGAAACTCTCATGTTACTCAAAACTCTCTTTATTAAGCTGGAAGTGAACAGCTATCTAAACACCCATCTTAGACTAGAAATCAAAATTTAAATCTAGAGGTCAGACTGACAGTGCAAAAATGGCCCAAAATGCAAAAAAGCCTCCAGCAAGTTCTGGCATAGTCACACTCACCTCCCTTCATTGGAAATTCCACCTTGGGTTCTCTCCATAGCAGAGGAACACAGCAGAGTGCACAGTGCTTACCCTGTTTATTCCTGTGAGCCGTATAAAGGAAAGGAACACGCAGACCTCATATGAACTGCAAAGATGAATGAACAGTAACACAATGATGCAGAACAGAGGGCAGCAGTCCCCAACACTCTTGCTACCTACTTCTGTGGATTTTTTCCTCCAAATGCAAGCTATTACTGAAGGGGTAATAAGCAGAGGTGACAAAGTCCTACAGGAACTCAAAACTGCCATCCTCACTACTTACAATTATGTCTTAGGAATGTCTTTTTCCACCAAGTAAGTTCAGTCACTCTATTCAAATACACTTCCATTTCACACTGTGTATTCAGCTTGGTAGCTCTTTTGGACTTTTTTCACAGCATGGACTCCACCTCAATAGATTCTCATGGACAACTACTTCTTTTTGCCCAGCCTTACAAAATCATTTTTCCTCCTACTGTGATCACTCAAAGTTCAAGTTGCTTATATGAAAAGGAAGCCAATGTTCAGAAAGAACCATGATATTTCTTTCCAATAAGTTGAAACTTCTCCCAATACTAGGAGGGTGAAAAGAAATTTTGTGATGACTTTAAAAACTGCAACACCAAGCATCTATAAGCATTGCACTTCAATAACAAGACACCAGGAAGTAAGCCCAAAGCTGAGCATATATTCTCAGAGGAGTTCAAGTCATACACCTGTTTAGACCTAACAAATACAGATCTACCTGCAGAAAATAGGATATGCTTTATTTCGTTTCAAGCTAACCTACGTTATTAAAAATTAAGATTTCTCATCAATCTCCTTTTCAAAAAATATAAGATTCTCAACATATTTTCTCCCACTTCTGTTACTGACTTCTCCATTTATACCATTTGAATTGTAACACATACATCTACAGAGACAGCATGAATCTGAATTTTCATATTTAAATGGCAGACAAAGAAAGAAGCTAAGTCCTCATATTGACAGCTATGTGCTAGGCCTCACAGTGTGCTCTAAATTCAATTGGCAGCTTTTGTAAATAGCCATAATGGCTAACCACAGAAGATGTCCAGTTTCTATGATTCACCTTTCTATTTCATACTTGTGGAGTTCCAGTTCCCATATTCTTAATTGTCAAGACATTTCCACTAGAGACAACAGTGGCTACATTCAATTTGTCAGGTCTTCTGTCAGCAAAAGATAAAGCTCCATTTCATCACACCCTGTGTGATGATTAAAGCTTCTGGACACTCAAAGCACTTATGTCAATCATACCTGAATGATGAATACTGAGAGAAATTCTTAACATAACTGTATCCATCAAATGTAGTTTCTCATCCCTATTGTAAAACTGCAGCAGCCCCTCTCACACCACTTCCATCTTTCCATTTGTGTAATTCTTTGTGGCAGAGTGTCCTAGGGTGACTTTATGATGTTTGCATCCCCAATCCTCGGCTCTGTTTATGCTGGATATTATATTCTGTGCCTTCAAGACTGGGTCTGAGAGTAAAGGCAGGGAGAAGAAGAAGCATGGAGTTTGTTATCAGAAACTGCACTGCTCCTCTACATACTGTGCTGGATTGTTTCATCTGGGCACAGAGAGAGCAGAGCAGGGCCCTCCTTTGCTTTTTAGTTAGTTTAGCTAGCTGAGGCAGGGAAGTTTTCCCTGAACTGTCTTTTCTTTCCCTTTTCTTGGAACTGTTCAAACCTACTGTGGACTGGGACCCGGGGAAGCACCAAGAGCTTGCACTTTGTGGCCACTGGGGCCTTCTCTGGGCAGCGGCCATTCCCAGTGCCAGAGGGATTGTAACAGAGCGCCCACCCCAGGAGAGACTTCCTGAATTTGCAATCTCTTCAGAGCAATGAATGAATTTTTGTCATCTGGTATTGTTCATTTTTTGTGCTGAGGAGTGATTTGCCTGTTAAATAAACAGGTTTTCTCCACTTCTGTCCAAGGAAATTTTTCCCAAACGAGTTGGGGGAAGGGGCCGTGTGAGTTTGCTTTCTGGGGGGGCCCCCTTTTGGAGGTCTTCTCCCAAATTTGCCCTAAACCAGGACACAGAAAAACATTTTTTTCCTGGACCTTGCTGGTTTTTGACACTATTGTATATCATCTATTTATCTTGCTTAATGTATTTGCAAGTCACAACACGTACTGGGGTTGATTTTAAGCAAGTAATGACATGGACCAGTCAGGTAAGTGAACATGTTCCCAAGCCACATATCTGGAATTCTTTCCACAGACCTGAAACCCTCTACCCTGACACCCTCTTTCATGAACTCATACAATTACCTTCTAAACATCCACTCCACTGTCAAATTCAGCTGAACTAGTCAATGAGTTAAAAAATGATCACAGATGATGTCAAAAGACTGTGCACTGGAATAATACAACAGAAAAGTTAATTTACAAAAACACAATTAGAGTTAATTTAAAGGAAGTATTTAGAGGGAGGACAGTCCACAATCAAGAAGCACAGAACTACATCATTATAAAAAGCCAGACAGCCTGAATATGTACTTAATGACCTGAGATCAGGAACCAGAAGTGCAAATTATTTAGGTGAAAAATTCAGAAATAATCAAAGGTAGTATTAAACAGTAAAAAACTGAGCAAGTATCAGACCCGCTTTTGTGGGTTATCTCTTTGACTACACAAAGCAAGAAATTAGTAGTTTGAAATTCACCTGATTCTTTTGACTTTAAGGCCTCTTTGATTTGCTGTTTAATTTTCATTGCTTCTTCTGCAGTCAAGTCCCCTTTTTTCAGTGTCACCACTTGAGGCTGCTCATCTTCCTTGTCACTGCCGTTGTCACTGTCATCATCGGCAAGTGGAAGCTGCTCTCTCTGGACAAGAGAGAAATAAAAGCCATCCTGATCATCACTCCAGCTGTGGGCCTTGGTTTCACTTTTGCAGAAAGGTTATTGAAGAGACTTGGCAAAGCTGCCAGTGCCAGGCCCTCCCAATTCACACTATCCAAAGGACACTCCAATCCTATCACTGAGACACGGCTTCCTATTAAAAACATTAGCATGAGAGTATGGGCTTCTTCAATTAGAGACCAGAAGGAACTTGGAAAGCAAGAAATTAATTCCTTTTCTTTGCCATCTTGACTGTGCAGCACTGTCTGCTATGCAACACTAAGAAAAGCTTTAAATGCAAGGCTCCAAACTTGAACCTTCTATGCTGTACTCAAAGCAGCACAAAGGGAAATGTGGGTCCATGGTGGCTGGGTTATTAAACCTGGCTAAACAGATCACTGTAAGCAGCACTGACACAAGGAAGATCATACTCCTGTTTCTGCTCTCTCAAACTTGTGCACTGGGACAGAAGAATCAATTTGGCAATTTTTGGGTTTTTTTTTAATAAACCTTCTGGCATGCAAACCTCAGTGCAGCAACCTGTAGTTTGGCAATATTAGAGGACCTGAAAACTTTATATTGTAAGGAAAAGTATAGATACTATTACTGTAATCTACTGAATATGTGTATATATATACAAAAACGAGACATTAATTTCTTAAGGTATCCTGTAAAATCCTATTTAGAGGGAAACACATGCAAAATCACATTGGAAGCAGAAAAAAACTGTGCCTCAGGAAAGGCTGCCCTTTAACTCCCTGCCTTTCCAGCCATCACAACACAGTTCGCGACCACGGACCCACAGCAAGATGTTTTAGGTTCTTTAAGGGAGGGACCTTAAAGATCACCCAGTTCCAGCCCCCTCGCCGTGGATAGGGCACCTCCCACTAGGCCAGGCTGCTGCGCGTCCCATCCAACCTGGCCTTGAACAGTTCCAGAGACGGGGCATCCCCAATGCAGCCTGTCTCATCACCCTCTAAGAATTTTTTCTATGTATCGAAGCTAAATTTCTCCTCTTCCAGTTCGAACTCGCGTTAACTCCTTTAGAATAATTTTTTTATCGCACCTTTAGAACATTTTTTTCCACACCGCCCCCTTCCTCCACCGCCCGGGGCTTTTTAAAGTCCAGTTCAAGCCCGGACATCACCGCTGCTCTCCCCGTGCCCCCACAGCCCCCTCGGGCACGGAGAGGTTGAAGCGGCTCCACAAGGCCGCCTCAGCAGCCTTGCAGTTGTCTTGATCCTCCAAGACAAAGCAAAACCAAGTTACACATAGGATTTCAGTCCGTTTCAGCGAGTAACTACAGCTCCCCCTTGCATTACAAACGCTGCTTCCCCACGGCCCACAACGCGAGCGGGCGGGGATGGGCGGGCACCAAGGCTCGGGAAGCGGGCGCTGCCGCCTCCCACCCGCGGGCCAGGGCGTTACCTTGGTGTCCACCGTGGGGCCTTCCCGATACCCGACCTGCCGCTTGAAGCGGCTGAGGAAGGCGGGCTCGGCCGGCCGCACGTAGGACACCTGATTCCTCTTGCTCATGGCCGCCACCGCCGCCGCGCGCGCTTCCGGGGGGGCGCGCAGCTAGCTCTCCGTTCCGGGGCTCCGGCCAATGGCGGGGCCCGCGCGCGCCGGGCAAAATGGCGGCGCCCGCGCTGGGCTCGGGCAGGGGGCGGGGCCGCGCCGCTGAGCGCCAAATTCGAAGGCGCCGCCATTTTGGAGCGGCGGGCGGGCGGGAGTCGCCGGGCTTGGAGCGACCATGGCTCCCGGCGAGAAAGGTGACGGGGAACGGCCGGGAAGGGGTTTGGGGATGTGCCCGCGGTTCGGGGAGCAGGGGGACTGAGGGACGGCTGTGCCCGGGAGGGCCGCACTGTTCCGTGCCCTGGCGGGGAATCACTCGCGTGGGAGAAGCAGTGGGGCCGGGTGCCGAGGGGCTCGGTGTCCCCCAGCGGGGCAGAGGCTCCGGGCATTCCGTCCTGCGCTGCCCCGGTGGTGTCGGGGTGCCTGGGAGTCGGCTCTTTCCCAGAATTACAGAATAAGCTGAGTCCGAAGGGACCCCAAGGATCATCGGGTCCGACTGCGGGCCCTGCACAGCACCATGCCCAGCAATCACACCGTGTGCCCAGGAGCACTGTCCGAACGCTTCCTGAGCTCTGTCAGCCTGGTGCTGTCACCACCTCCGTGGGGTGCCTGTTCAGTTCCCAGCCAGCCTCTGAGTAAAGAGCCTTCTGCTGATATCCAACCCCAACCTCCGCTGACACAATTTCAGGCTATTCCCAGGGCTCTGCAAGTATCGGTCTGATTTCAGTTTTTAACTGCACCATTTTCCTTGATAACTTGTGTAATTGAAGAATAAATTACTTAGTTGGAGCTGAAATTTTTCTCAGATGTTGAGTAAATCAAAACAGCACATAAAAAGCTTACGCAGCAGCAGGATGTTTAGGTAGTCTGAACGTCAAAGAGAAGGTAGGCATCTTTGCACATCATTGATCATTCTGCTGTTAAAGGTGATCCTCTTACAAAAAAACCCCATGTGCTCATAAAGATTTTGTAAATACTTTGTTATTGGAATATTTTGAGGCATTGTCTTTCATTGTTATTTTGTTTATTTTTTTAAATACAACTTTGTTATTTTGTTAACGTTTTGACTATATTATGGACTTTGATGTCAGATTAAGTAAAAAATAAGTCCTATGGGGTAATATATGCTGTCTCCTTGAAGTCTGAAGCTGTGCAAAATGAGCCTCGCTCACAGAATCAGTGAGGTTGGAAAAGACCTCTGAGATCATGGAGTCCAACCTATGAATGCTCAGCACCTTGTCAACCAGGCCATGGTATTGAGTGCTATTGGACACATCCAGACACCTCCAGGCATGGTGACTCCAGTACCTCCCTGGGCAGCCCATTCCAAAGTCTAATCAGCCTTTCAGTGAAGACATTCCTCCTGATGTCCAACCTGAACCTCCTCCGGCACAGCTTGAGGCTGTGTCGTGTCCTGTCACCTGGGAAAAGTCTGACCCCAGCCTCCTTCCAGGCAGTTGTAGGGTGATATGGTCTCCTAGAGCCTCCTTTTTGCCAGAATAAACAAATGGCACATTGATAAGTGTGTGCACATTCACATTAAGGGAATGAAGGTTTCACTTCCTCTGTTACAATCTGCCAAAGGAAGATATTTACCAAATATTTTCATGCAGTTCTGTTCATGCACAAAACAGGTATTTATAAGGCTCTCCATTTATTTCCCTCTGTACTGCTTACAGTATTTTCTATTTAGGTCAGGAGTTTTGAGCGGTAATTTTAATTTTTGTGTGTCTCTCTTTTATAGGAGGTCTGCGTGACTCTTCAATATCTTTGCAGAACTCATCTAGGTAAAATTATATTGGCCAGTTCCCATATATTATTAATCACATTGCACAGAAACAAAACCTAGCATAACTCTGTGAGATAAAGTTTTTTCTTTCAATCTTTACCTACCTAGGATTGCTGCCTTTCTCTCCTAATATCCTTAGAGGCTTTAAAAAAAATGTATTCATAATGAAACTGTTACACCGACATGTTGGGTTCCTCTTGGAATGCTGCCATGCAATAAATTTTCATTTGTCCACTAATTCTGCAGCTGCACTTTAGAGTTTATATGAAGAAATGTCCCACTAGGGACTTCAGTCCTGTGAGGAAGCCCTAAACTAAAACAAAAAACCAAAAGCCCTCTTCCAAGTGTAAACTGTGCCACAACTCAGAATAATGAAAGCCCATTTGGCAAATTAATTTGGTGGTCTTAGGGAAAATATTATACTGGATTTTTCTCAGGTGCTGCTTATGTTCTCAGCCCTTTCCTCTGCCACTACCCAACTGCACATTTCATTCATGAGGACCCTTCCCCACTTTCAGAACCGTTCTTCTCTTGTTACCAATAGTAAAAATAGCAGTTACAACACCCTCCTGCTAAAACCTTTGGAAAAGAATGAAGTAAAGTAAATCCAAGTTTCCTACCACTTCATGCAAGAATTTAATTCTTTATTATTTTATTGGTGTATTAGTATTTATGGGAGAACTCTTCAGAGACTTGAAGGAAGTCATGCACAGTTATTTATTAAAGCTGATAAATGTGATGAAATTGGATAAAGATGTTTTAGATGCAGGCACTTGCTATCCTTTATTTGATTAATTGATCAAGAATTTATTCTTTTCCCCTTTCTTGTGAGCACCAAAGAAAAATGCTGACAACTTTTTTGCTGGACCGTAGCATTATCTGATCCATTGGTCCATTAAAGCTTCCAGGTTTAAGAAGGGCATCTCATGTTCACTGTGCAATGTGTTCTTTTAGAGCTAAAGCTAGGTGCCACAGCAATGAATTGCATATAACTGCATGTTCTTTGCTTTTTAAATCTGCCACATTTTTACCTCTATTATTTTCATCTAAAAGTAGCATGATTTTCGGACAGACCTTTGTAAGGCTTCACATGCTTCATCTGATTGTTGCATTTAATTTTATCAGGCAGCTGATCTATTTGGAAGTAATCTAATGCATAAACATTTATTTAGTGTTGAAGGTGATGCTATCAAAGTCTTTGTCCGGGTGCGTCCCCCTTCAGACAGCACTGCATTAACAGATGGAGATCATGGCCTGTGTTTATCTGTGCTTTCATCAAACACCATCCGTCTGCACTCAAAGCCTGAGCCTAAGATCTTCACTTTTGATTATGTTGCAAATATGGAAACAACACAGGTAATCATTTCAGAATCTCATAACTACTGCTATTTTCACCCAAGTTTTGGCAGCTACTATACTAAACATTTCTAAAGACATAGTGCATTAGGTCTAATTTTTTGCAGTGGTCAGAATGGAAATATGTTGTTATAGTACAGAATGCTGCACTAAATCCTGCTCTCTAACAGTTTTGATGTGATTTTTTTTTTTGCTGTTAATTTCTTTAATTGGAGTTTGAATTAAAATTGAAGGTTTTGTTTGTAAACATTATGGTAACACCATAGAAAGAAAATAAATCTGCCTATTGAGACAAATGTATAAAAATAACTGGCAGTCAGTAGCTGATATTAAGATGTGATTTCACAGAATTACAGAATATGCTAAGTTGGAAGAGACTCACAAGGATCATCAAATTCAACTCTTGGCCCTGCACATTTGTATTTAAGGAACTTCAGAGTTTCTATTCTATTTACTATATTTCCTTCTTACACTTTTGCCTTTTAAATGCCCACCTGGGACAAGTAATACTGGAAAGAAAGTCCTTCAATTTAATTTCTATAATATTGGTGATTGATATTCTGAACGTAATTTTAATTTTGCTAGGACTCCCAATTCCATTTAAATTCTGTTAAAAAAACAAACAAAACAAAACCTCCCAAAAACCTCACCTTCTCTAGGCTATTAGTTGTAGCTAGGCTTTTCTTGCACATCTAAGAGAAAAATGTGAAGACAGATGGGGCTGAGTTGTGCAGCTCTGTTGAATGTGCCATTGTGCAGTGGCAAAAGTTGAAAGCTAGATTTTCTAAGTGTCACAGGCACCTGGCCTACGATGGTATAAGCTGTGTAACATAATCAAAACCACTGGATCAAAATTATTACTGTGTACTTGGAAGCTGTTACTATGATCCTGAATTTTATTTCTCTTTGAGTTTATCAAGGGATACAATTTTTTCAGAGAGAGTGATATATGTCACAATGACTTAGGATGTATCATCTTCTGTGAGAATTCCAGGGCTCATGGTGCGTGCCTACCCTTCAGGAATCCATCTATTATATGCTATAAAGTTATGGCATAGGAAACACTGATATAACAGCTACTTTAACAGGTGGTGCCAAGTGCTTTCTCTTTCCCTTGTCCCCAGGAGTCTGTGTTCTCAAGTGTGGCTAAAAACATTGTTGAATCTTGCATGAATGGCTACAATGGAACCATCTTTGCATAGTAAGTGATTTTGTAGCAATTACAGTCATTTCATAGCAATGGTGACATACATTTAAGGAGATCCTGCTAATAAGTAGTTGGGGTTTGAAGAGCCAGAGCCTGCCTGATGTTACAGTGAACTTGAAAAATGCTTCCTTACTGCAGCACAGCATAAGGAATGTTCTTGCAGTATTGGGTGGTACTCCTTGCCCCTCTTTTGGAGGAATCTGTATGTAGGTGTTATGCTTTTAACACTTAAGGCTAATAATGACAATGTAAACTCATTTCAGTTTTACTGTTATTTACTTAAAAAGTGGGAAGAGAAAGTGAGTGGTTGTAGAGAAGTTACTGTATTGTTAAAGAGAAAGCTGGTGGTTTTCAGTCCACGGTAAAATGGAGTGAAAAATTTTTTTTACTTCACATTTGGTTGGCTCAACTCTTCAGTGACTCTTGGCTGCCTGTGGGAAAACTCATGAGTGATAATTTTAACTCTTAGAATATTTTTAAGGTAGACATATATCCATGACTAGTAGTATGAATATCATTATATTAACTTAATCTTTTTTTTCATTTGAAAACTGAGGAAGCACTTTGGTCAGAAAATGCTGATTTAAGGGGCTAATCTAATCAAAACCTTACCTGGGGTGTTTTTAGTGTAGCACAGCTTTTGCAAAACTATGAAGTCCACTTTGTTATAATATACAAATGTGGAAAACTGAA